GGAGGGAACGGAGACGTCACGTCCCGTCGCCACAGCTCCTGTACCACCGCTGAGCGGCCGGGTCACCGACTCGGCTCCTCAGCGAAAACCTGAATATGCGCTGCATCTGCTGCCTACTTATACTCACGCTGTGATCAGTGGCAGCTGGATGCAATAATCGCATGCCAATGTGCATTGGCTCGTTTAGTTTACACTCGAAGTAGATTGGTCTCTCTAAGCGAGATCCCAATTCATCGGTCATCCGACGTGACGTCGAGAGTGACCGACTGAAAGGGAACGTCTCGGTTACGTATGGTAACCCTCGTTCCCTGAAGGAGGGAACGGAGACGTCACGTCCCGTCGCCACAGCTCCTGTACCACCGCTGAGCGGCCGGGTCACCGACTCGGCTCCTCAGCGAAAACCTGAATATGCGCTGCATCTGCTGCCTACTTATACTCACGCTGTGATCAGTGGCAGCTGGATGCAATAATCGCATGCCAATGTGCATTGGCTCGTTTAGTTTACACTCGAAGTAGATTGGTCTCTCTAAGCGAGATCCCAATTCATCGGTCATCCGACGTGACGTCGAGAGTGACCGACTGAAAGGGAACGTCTCGGTTACGTATGGTAACCCTCGTTCCCTGAAGGAGGGAACGGAGACGTCACGTCCCGTCGCCACAGCTCCTGTACCACCGCTGAGCGGCCGGGTCACCGACTCGGCTCCTCAGCGAAAACCTGAATATGCGCTGCATCTGCTGCCTACTTATACTCACGCTGTGATCAGTGGCAGCTGGATGCAATAATCGCATGCCAATGTGCATTGGCTCGTTTAGTTTACACTCGAAGTAGATTGGTCTCTCTAAGCGAGATCCCAATTCATCGGTCATCCGACGTGACGTCGAGAGTGACCGACTGAAAGGGAACGTCTCGGTTACGTATGGTAACCCTCGTTCCCTGAAGGAGGGAACGGAGACGTCACGTCCCGTCGCCACAGCTCCTGTACCACCGCTGAGCGGCCGGGTCACCGACTCGGCTCCTCAGCGAAAACCTGAATATGCGCTGCATCTGCTGCCTACTTATACTCACGCTGTGATCAGTGGCAGCTGGATGCAATAATCGCATGCCAATGTGCATTGGCTCGTTTAGTTTACACTCGAAGTAGATTGGTCTCTCTAAGCGAGATCCCAATTCATCGGTCATCCGACGTGACGTCGAGAGTGACCGACTGAAAGGGAACGTCTCGGTTACGTATGGTAACCCTCGTTCCCTGAAGGAGGGAACGGAGACGTCACGTCCCGTCGCCACAGCTCCTGTACCACCGCTGAGCGGCCGGGTCACCGACTCGGCTCCTCAGCGAAAACCTGAATATGCGCTGCATCTGCTGCCTACTTATACTCACGCTGTGATCAGTGGCAGCTGGATGCAATAATCGCATGCCAATGTGCATTGGCTCGTTTAGTTTACACTCGAAGTAGATTGGTCTCTCTAAGCGAGATCCCAATTCATCGGTCATCCGACGTGACGTCGAGAGTGACCGACTGAAAGGGAACGTCTCGGTTACGTATGGTAACCCTCGTTCCCTGAAGGAGGGAACGGAGACGTCACGTCCCGTCGCCACAGCTCCTGTACCACCGCTGAGCGGCCGGGTCACCGACTCGGCTCCTCAGCGAAAACCTGAATATGCGCTGCATCTGCTGCCTACTTATACTCACGCTGTGATCAGTGGCAGCTGGATGCAATAATCGCATGCCAATGTGCATTGGCTCGTTTAGTTTACACTCGAAGTAGATTGGTCTCTCTAAGCGAGATCCCAATTCATCGGTCATCCGACGTGACGTCGAGAGTGACCGACTGAAAGGGAACGTCTCGGTTACGTATGGTAACCCTCGTTCCCTGAAGGAGGGAACGGAGACGTCACGTCCCGTCGCCACAGCTCCTGTACCACCGCTGAGCGGCCGGGTCACCGACTCGGCTCCTCAGCGAAAACCTGAATATGCGCTGCATCTGCTGCCTACTTATACTCACGCTGTGATCAGTGGCAGCTGGATGCAATAATCGCATGCCAATGTGCATTGGCTCGTTTAGTTTACACTCGAAGTAGATTGGTCTCTCTAAGCGAGATCCCAATTCATCGGTCATCCGACGTGACGTCGAGAGTGACCGACTGAAAGGGAACGTCTCGGTTACGTATGGTAACCCTCGTTCCCTGAAGGAGGGAACGGAGACGTCACGTCCCGTCGCCACAGCTCCTGTACCACCGCTGAGCGGCCGGGTCACCGACTCGGCTCCTCAGCGAAAACCTGAATATGCGCTGCATCTGCTGCCTACTTATACTCACGCTGTGATCAGTGGCAGCTGGATGCAATAATCGCATGCCAATGTGCATTGGCTCGTTTAGTTTACACTCGAAGTAGATTGGTCTCTCTAAGCGAGATCCCAATTCATCGGTCATCCGACGTGACGTCGAGAGTGACCGACTGAAAGGGAACGTCTCGGTTACGTATGGTAACCCTCGTTCCCTGAAGGAGGGAACGGAGACGTCACGTCCCGTCGCCACAGCTCCTGTACCACCGCTGAGCGGCCGGGTCACCGACTCGGCTCCTCAGCGAAAACCTGAATATGCGCTGCATCTGCTGCCTACTTATACTCACGCTGTGATCAGTGGCAGCTGGATGCAATAATCGCATGCCAATGTGCATTGGCTCGTTTAGTTTACACTCGAAGTAGATTGGTCTCTCTAAGCGAGATCCCAATTCGTCGGTCATCCGACGTGACGTCGAGAGTGACCGACTGAAAGAGAATGATAAATATCTGCACAATGATATTAATACCCAAATTTTATTCAACAACTTAAAGGGGTTAGTTCAACCCCAAATATAAATGTTGTCATTATTTATTCAGCTTTTATTTGTTCCAAACCTGCCTGAATTTTCTTCTTCTGTTGAACATAAAAGAAGATATCTTGAAGAATGTGGGGACCAGAAAATGTTTGGTTACCCACATTCTTCAAAATATCTATGTCTGCAAGAAAAAGAAAAAAAAAATAAAGAAAAAGAAAGAAACTCAAACAGTTTTGGAACAATTTAAGGGTGAGTAAATAATGGCAGAATTAAAACAAACACAAAAAAAAAACTAATAATTGAGTAGATAATTATAACATTATATCTTGCATTTAAAAAAATTATATTTTTTTAAATATATAAAACATATACAGTATTATTTATAGCATAAACATATATTACTTAAAAAATGACAGGAAACTGTCATGTATAAAAGGCTTCCATACAATTATGACCAAACAAGCAAACAATTAAGAAAGAAACCCATACATTAATCATATCTTTATGAATTACTAAAATACATTTTGCAATTTAAATTTTACAATCACTATTACAATATGAACATAAGCATATTTTATGCAACTGGCACTGATACATTATCAGAAAGTGTTTATTTTTTGCATGTCTTCATCTAACAAATTTTGAAGCAGCCAATTTTGCCCCTTTAGACCCTTTAAGGATTGTGTCTTCAGGAAACAATAGCTTTTGATGATATATATTTTGTAAATGTGATGAACGTGGAGCTCCAAATTCTTGTTAGACAATCAGGCTCACATTGGTAAGCACGGCCTCTCTCTTGTCCCAGCAGCACAAATTCATTCTGACTGAATCTTAATTAACAAATCAGTCTTGGTTTTATTTGAATATGCATGTCCTAAGCAGAGAGGACATCGGAGAGAAAGACAAAAAGCAGGGGACAGTAGAAAGTTTACCGTGACAGTTCAGCAAACAGCAGCGGAATTGCTAAATGGCAATAGAGGACAAAAAGCAGCGGAACGACAACCTTGCAAGCCCGCCACCATTTGTTAGCTACGTTGGAAATGTTTGAGTAAATATGGTATAAATTTATGCAAATAAGAACAGTAATAAAGCACCTTGTGACAGAGAAAGTGAATATAAATGGCACTGCTTCCTAGATAACCTAAAACGGGTGCTTTGCGAAATGAAGATGTATAAATCAATTGTGGAACTTGTCACAAAACTTGTCTCCTTGTAGCTGCTCTAAGTATGTGTATGTATTCAAGCAAGGCAGGATAATTTCTCTGTCCTCTTCCACAAGGATATTTTGTCACTCTGTATTCATAGCCCACGCCTTCATAAGCAAAGGACAGGAAGTAGCAACCTTGACCTTTCCATAGAAGTCCACAAAATGAAGAGAAAGATCATCATTAATCGCTAGTCATCTGCTCGCATTTCTTACAGCTGCTTCTTGTCATTTCAGATAATGAGACGGAACAGGCTCTGCCAGAGACACGGTCTCAGCCGTGGCTGACCATCGTGCATGCCCTTGAACCCAGCTGGACCTCCCAAGAAATACGCCAACTCATTATTCCGTCAGATGTCACATCGAGCCATGCGAGAGTGTCAGTAAACCGCTTCCAAAAGGAGATGGAGTTTTCACATTGTTTAGCGGGATCCTAGAATAGAAGGCGTATTTCAAAGCATTGACTTTCACAACAATGCTGGGTTAGTATGTTCACCGCTTCGTAACTTTTTAGTGTGCACCTCATTATTAGTGATTTTACTGCTAGGCTGTTGAAACACAAAGAAGGGGAGTGCGGGGACAGTGTCATGTTGCTTCAGCTGATCAAATGGTAAATAATGATAAACACGGGCTCAAATAAATGTTTTATTCTTTCGTATTTTCTTCAGACTAGAGAACGGAGTTGAAAAGGGCAACTGGGGCACAGTAAAGCAATGGTGCAAGAAACTCCCCCAGCTTATATTTCGCAACTGGATTGGAAACTGCGTTTGGAACAAATGGGTAAACAAATAAAAATCTTACACCAACCATATCTTTACATAATCCTATGGGTTACATTTTGCAATTTCAATTTTATAATAATTAGAATATGAAAGTAAGCAGAATTTATGCACCCGGCACTGATTCATTATCAGAAATTCAAATTGTTTTGCATGTCTACATCCAAAAACTTTTGAAATGGCCAATTTCACCCCTATATGCCATTTGGGATTGTGTCTTCAGGGAACAGCAACTTTTGATAGAGAATTTTTGAAATCCCTAAATTATTATGATCAAAACACAAAAGAGAGAGGTGCGGGGAAAATGTCATGTTGCTTCAGCTGATAATATGGTAAATAATGATGAATACAGGCTCACACGGATTTTCCTCAGACTAGAGAACAGAGTTGAAAAGAGCAACTGGGGCACAATAAAGCAATGGAGCAAGAAACTCCCCCAGCTCCGAGCATGAACGACCCAATAAAAGTCTGATTATTATTTAGAGAGAATATTGCCTCAATAAAACAGCAATTCCGGGCAGGATTCACAGGACACAGCACCAAGGTCTCGCTGTGGAGTCATATTGGGATGGATTTCTGTGGTAGAAAGTAGAAAATGAAACCGTTAATGACCAGAAATCTGAATAAAAATACCAGCTTCATATCTGTCGGAGATGCTAATGTAGCTCCCTTGGAAAGTGCAATAGTGCATCAGATCATCTCAGTTCGGTTTCTAGTGTCTGATCTGTGCTGTGATACATGAGGGGTTGGAGCTGAAGCATTGTAGTGGATATTCAGCGCAGCGTTCGCCTCATGACCCGGGATGAGGATAGATAGTGGCATTGGCCAAGCCTCATCCATTCACTCAGGGGGCTGCTGGGCTGGGAAATGGCAGCCTATGACAATATCTCTATTAGGAGTGATGGAAAGCATGTCAGCAAGCCTTTATTAACAGCCCTTGCTAGCCTGCACCAGACCTGCTGCTATTTGAGTAATGCCACTCAGCAGTGCGCCCCAGACCTTTAATGTATACCCACATCCCACTACTGTAATTTCCTGAGAGGGTAGGTCGTTAGTTTTGATTTGTATCAAAATATATTAATAAATTATTCTTTCAATTACCTGTGGCCTTCAACATGGAGAAGCCAAGCCAGGGGACATTTTTCACATTGGGGTTGCAAATCAGAGCAAGTGCTTCAGAGTTTACCAGCTCACCTGAAAAACATCTAAATTCAGCAACAGAAAATAATCTGTGAATCATTTGTAACACTTGAAAATATGGTTTCATTTATTATCATCTGCTCATGTATTAGGTATCGTGACCTGACAATGAACAGTTTTTTTAACAGCATTTTGTTGCTGTTAAAAAAAAAGTGTTACCAAATTGTTTTTGAACTGGTTCATTTACAATGAACCGATTCACTAAAAGAAACCACACTTCCAAGTGTGACACATGAAAGGAAGAGAAAAGGTTTTTGGAGAGTGAGTTTGATAATTGCCTTAGTTATTCTGACCAACGTGGCATTAAACAAAAAAGATCACCATAGTACGCCACAACACACCAGAAAATTTACTGGAAAAGCTACACTATATTGAAAACAGCTGAGCTACTGTCACACTACTAAAAATATACAGTAGTTAAGGTAGAAGCGCCCTACTTTTAGTTAGTCACTCCCAAGCACTGAATATGAAGTAAGGAAATATGAAGAATAAATGAAGAGTGAAAAAAATCTACACGTGTTTCAAGCATAATGTACACAATTGCATTTATATTTCATACGATGGCCGTCTGAGCAAGGGTATCTGTCAATCACAAGGGATCTGGAACTCTCTGGTGACATTCAATGCCCTTTTCACATTTCCTCTGGGGACAGAAGAGAATAAATCATAGGAGTGCAGAGACCCAGAACACATAACATGAAAACAAAGAACAGGCCAATGAAGAAGCAGAGTCTTATTTCTATGGAAATCGATTACACACTAAACCTCACCCTACAACAAACAAACAATCAATCTATCTATCTATCTATCTATCTATCTATCTATCTATCTATCTATCTATCTATCTATCTATCTATCTCCTCAGCTTTAAGAATAGTCCGTTTCTCCAGTCGGGCACAGAAAACTGACACAGGAAAACAGGACAAGATTGTAACTATTTGTGTTCATTGTGTGTGTAATCCCTGACAACAGACTTAAGCAACTCTTGTTTCTTCTCAAAGGGCACAGATTGACAGTTGATTGATTATGTGCTGCCCTGAGTTGAACCCAATCCACAAAGGCCAAAAGATCATAGCTGAAAATTGTTCATAAGACCACATCTGAGAACCAATCTCTCTCCAAACTGCTCATTCCCTAAACAGTAACCAGGCCATTTTACCAATGATTCAGACTGATATCGGCGGGATGGTCAGCTACTCTCGGAGAGCCTGGCCTGAACCGCACATAGTCAGAGCTGTCAAATGCGGTGTCCGATGCGAGGTAGTGGAAAGGCCCGTTCCGGCCTGCAAAATGATTAGAGAGGCTGGAGCTGGAACGGGGCGGACAGGAGAGTGGACTTCTGGGGGAAGAGCTGACATGAGCGCACAACAGAAGATGAACTGGTGTAATGAACCCGGTGGCTCCCTGCAGCCCAATCCTAACCCCCTTCCAATTGCTCATCACACACTGATCATTCCAATCCATGGCCTAATAGTCCCGCAAGGTTCTGCTTATGTTCAGTCAATCCACTCAGCCTTCTGGCAGCTAATGAATTTGGCGTGAAGGCCTCAGAATGGGTCTTGCTCAATTTCAGTTATGAAGGTTCACCGGTTCGCATGGATCATAATAGAAAACTGGACCAGTTTCACCATGAGATTGACTCATTTTTAGATTAGGAAAGCTCCATTGTTTCAATATGGTGAAAATACAGCCCAGCTCCAGAGGCCAACAAATGCACAAATATGAACAACAGGCCAAATTGAATGCAATAAAAATAGGTGTTTTTTTGTAATACATGCTCATTTCATACACTGCAAACCAGCAGAGCACTGAGGAATAAATTGAGAAACATATGAGGCTGATTAATCAGACAGTACAAAAAAAACAATGAAGACCAATGGAGACCAAACCACTGGTTTGTAAATACAGTGACTCCCTGTGGAACAGCTGTTAAATTTTGTTATGGAATCAAAGCAAAACATTTGAGTTGTATGTTGTGATGCGAAACAGCATGCACAGCATTAATATCCAAAATGTCAGAGCGCTTTTAATGTCATGCTGTACAAGCATGTCTTTTATTAAAATGCCACAACACAGATCCTGCATTAGGATGACGTGACGAATTTAAATGAGTCTGAAACAGTCGAGGTTACAGCCATGATTATATACAAGATTACTTTTATTTGCAGGAATATACAATATATAATAGAACAAATTAAATAACAGTATGCGAGGGCTGGGAATCAAACAGAATGGAAGAACACGTGCTAGTCGGCATTTGTTAACCACTAAAAAGCATTACATGCTTGGGATCACATCATAAATTTGCTCATGAATTTAAGAGGACTCGGTCATCTCTAGACACACTGTTTAAAGACCTTTTTGAGTCGAAATCCTCCTCTGAGAATTTTATCATAGCTGATACGTTTTCTTTTTGCCAAAGCCATGAATGCACAACTCAATTTAATTGACTAAGTACAATAAATTGAGCTTTTGAAGGCATTGATATGCATGGATAATTAGATGCCTTTGATGTGAATGAACATCTATTTTGGAATTAGCAGCAGTCACAGGTGTTTTGCTGTGAAAAGTGTAATCAGATCCTTTGAAGTTTTATATTTCATTACCAAATTGAACATGAAAAGCCCATTCATTTGCATAATTTAATCTGTAAAGGAGACAATTTCTGAAACCTCTTCTTTTGCTTTCTGCCAGCCTGCTGCAAACATATGTTCCTTGGCTGGCAATACAATGCAGAGTGAATGTCTGACAATTTCTGAATTTGAATAATCTTTGTATGAATAGATATTATGAATTTAACGATTTAAAGAACCAGGGATGGAACAGACTCAACTTCAAATCCGTCTTTGTGAGAAGATTAATTAAACTGCAGAAACTGGGGAAAAGGAACATTGTCGAACATTGAAAGCCCTGAAGAGCAATAATTTATGGAACATAATGTTACTCTGCAGTGAGTAGGTGAGTCAGTACAGAAAGATCCCACCTACTGAATATTTGCTGAACACTTATACCAGGCAAATACAGATTTGTAACAGTCTATATCTGCTCTGAAATTGAACTAAATGTGCTGGATTTGATTTGCTTCATTTGAAAAATATATGTTAATGACATGACACTCTCTCATAAAACGCTTGACTTAGTTTGCAGTTGTTCTGAGAGCAATGCTTAAATTGTAAACTATATTAATTGAAAAAAAGCCTACATTTAAATGAGTTTTGTTTAACATCAAATGTCATGCTGACATGAAAGAACTGAATAGACAGTTTACAAAAAGATTAATCAACAATTATTACGAATTTAAGCTTTTACAGAATGCTTTAAGTCCACAAGATAATTAAACTTACATTTTCCATTTAGCCAGTCCTCAGTACTATGATGAGTATCTCATAATTGCATATGGGAAGCATAAAAGCGTCTGCTAAATGACTAAATGTAAATATTGTACTCACACACTATAGTACATGGCCAACTGATATCTGGAAAAATCGACCAAGAAAAAAATAAGCCTAACTGAAATGACATACAGTATATAATGTAACTCCCAACTTACATTTGCTGTACTCTGGCATCATAGCGGCTGTTTTTCAGAGCCACATTCGGGGGAAGGCTCATTTGAGCTGAACTCTGAGTTTATTGATTTTTGGCGGAACAGATTAACTGCCCTCATCCTGACTGGACAGCTGAAAATAAACAGAGCTGCTGTCCACTGTTATCTTTGCATGCAGCCTTCATTTGGTAAAGTTTGCTGTTCGCATTGCTTCATTCACATTGAGCGCACCCTCATATACTGCTGTATTGATGTGGGTTTCCATACAATTCACATTTCAAATGTGTTATTTGGCAAATTACTCGCTCTTTTTATCTGGCAGCTGCCAGAGCATGGACTTTGCGAGAAATCACATCTAACCGTGAAATAAAATGACATATTCTAGCCCTTAATCAGGCATAACATTTTAAACAGCGTTGGAAGTGCCACGCTGCTAAAGAATGGACGCCATGGGCTAGTAACCAGGTAGGGCATTGTCCATTCAGATGCCCGCAGGGTTAACACACTGTCAAGCCCTTGAGCGAGACACTCATCCTCTTACTGTCTATAACCAGGTATTGCAGCGACTTCATTTTGATTTATGTTTACACATTTTTAACATCATAACACTGATGCCTGGACAGACGATCATGTCACTTCCTATAAATAATTAAACCTGGCTCAGATTATTTATTTTTTAATTCATGCCTTGTGCTGTGCTGAAAATCCTTTAATTTGTTGTTCTCGGTCAAAAATGACCAGCCTTTTATAAATTGCTTGTAGATCTCTCATTATGCTACCTGTATATTATCACAAATTGGATTCAAGATTAAATTATTGGATTCTGTCTTTTTTGTTTTCTTTCAATTAGCACAGGCTTTGTATTTCTTTTTGGAAATGACTAGTCATAGGCCTCATTCATCTGAGCTTATGCACCTCAGTTTTTAAATGAAAAGAGAGAAAAAAAAGGTGGATAATTCTAGTAATGTTTACTCAATATTTATTTTTCATTTAAAAAAATGAAAAAAATAATTTAATTTAAACACACACACACACACACACACACACAAATATAATAATTTTTTATTATTTACTTATAAGACTTAGCTAAATATGAGCAATGCGTTTATATTATCAATCTTATTATAAATAATTGTAATAAATAATATAATAAATTCATTATCAGTAACTACCTTTCTTTGTATCAGATTACTTATTTAATATCAATCCAGACCAATACAAGTTCAAACTTGAGAACAGTGATGTCGGTCAAAAGCTAACAGGTCCTGAAGCTATAGGAGACAATCACCAACACCTGCATTTGACCTAAAGCTGAACAATTTTTTTTTGAAGCTGTTGGCCATCGCCTATCATTAAAGACATACATTTTGTCTCCTGGGTTTTCTACTTTTATAATTAGAAAATAAATATATAATATATCAAAGAAGGGTTTTTAGGGTGAGTTATAACACCACATACCCTGGCTTTTTCTCTAGATCCCTCTCAGATGAATCTGCAGGCGAGAGGCTTTTAGATTTATGGAGCACTTAATTCAGCAGCCGGAGAATCGATAAACAAGACGTAGGGGCCAGCCCTAAGTTGATAACTCCAAAACGCTGATATATCATAACACACCTTGTGGAGGCAGGATGAGTTGCTCATTCATTTTTAGACACGTAGCCTTGATACTGGAATGGCGATGTTTCTCAAAGCCCATTCAGATGGTCAGCAGGAGGAGGAGATCCTGTGGATGATTTACCAAACAAACTTCCACTATAAATACTAACCCAGTATGATATGAGTTTAAACCCCACCATCCTTAAAAATACTGCAATTTACATTATGCAACTCCGCACTAACGACTGAACACATCTGTCATGGTTTAAGACATTCCATACCCTATATTCCATCTGAACAATAGCTCCATTTCAAGTAGAAGATTGTACTATGTCTTTCTGTGGCTTAAGCGCAGTGGAGTAATGGGGTACAGACCAGTGCTGGAGAAGGTTCTGCTCTGACGACTGAAATTGATTTGTTGCAAATGGCGAGAAATGGATGGAAGTGTCTCGCCAGAGTAAATGGCAGGTGACTGCCAGCTCAGAGCTTAGATTAACCCATATCTCTCTTCCATTGTGAGACTGTCCTCGTATTCACAGTCCATTAAAGTCTGCTGCTCCACAGGTTCGTCATGCCTATGGAGAATACAAACATTATAGGGGCCTGTGAAACCAGAAGTAGACTTAAAGTATGATTATACCTTTGGAACTTGCAAAAAGCAGACTGAAAAAATCAAAATAAGACAAAACACATATATAAAATTACGTTTTTTAATGTTTTTGAAAGAAGTATCTTTTTCTGCATTAACAAAAATACAGTAAAAAAAACTTTTTTTCAATTTAAAACAACTATTTTCCACACACATTACAGGCCAGATTTACTAACAGCTTGAGCCAGCGCAAACCGTCTTTTGGCATTAGTACTGTCAGGATTTACTAAAGATGCGCAGTGAAGAATTAGTGCTGAACCTGACCTTGTTGAATATGCATTTATAGGAGTTTCCCTTACTGACGCAAAATTTATGGGAGGGGAGTATTAAAATGAATCACGCAACGCGATTTACTAACATTTGTGCTCATCAAATTACTGGTATTTGCGCCATTATTGAATGCCCAATAAAAGCATGTCTTAAAGCAGGCAGTAATTTGCACTGCTCTTGGTAGATTGCGCTGGTAATTACGGAAATGATCTGACTGCGTCTGTGTTCTTTAATGTACACATTGTTAGTAAATCACCCACAGAATTTTCCCCTCCCATATGCGCTTTTATGGAATTGCGCAATAACACTAATTTGCCCTCTTTAGTAAATCTGGCCCTGTATGGCCAAAATTATGTGGACACTTGATAAATTCAAAATCATGGTTGTTCACAGAGAACCTGCCCTCCTTTTGCTGCTACAACAGTTTTTATTCTTCCTGGAAGGTTTTCCACTAAATGTGGGAACTTGGCTGCGGAGATTTGCTACTATTTACACCATCAGTGAGGCGCTCCAGTTTATCCCAAACATGTTTGTGTATGGCTGAAATAACCAAACCCAAACATATTACATAATAGGGAGTGTTCACATACTTTTTGGCCATGCAGTGTATGTAGATGTGTCTGCCATCAAAACGAATTAATCTGTACAAAACATAGTTATCATTGAACCTTGCAGCTCAATTGATGTGATGGTACATAATGCACCGAGGATGCCAGCTAACGATCGCTGTCCTAAAAGAGGGGATGGACCTTGTCTTTAGACAGTGTGATACATTAACGCATTGACATGCATTTGCACTAAACACACAGTAAACCTTATCAAACAACTTGACTGTCTGCAGTCAGACATGTTGTGTCTGGCTGAGGCAAATTGAGCTGTGCTATCAAGACTTCAGTCTCATTTAAATGCCGAGTCTCAACAGTGTGGTCACTTACCTAAGAGAAGTGGCATCAAATTCTGAAGCACCCTCTTATCCTTGAGTGCCTCCTGGGCTGTTTCTCTTAATGGGGATCATCGCACTACAGAGTTGCATGAAAACCTCTACAGACGAGTGCAGCAAACTCTCCAAATGAACCAAAAAGAGATTTAGAGAAATAGTCTCCTCGTATTCCACGGGGGCTCGATATTCACGTAATATTTTTATATTGCAGATATATTTAACAATTTTTTTGTTAAAATAAAAAAAAACAAAATCAATTTTTTGCAGCCATTATACAAAACTATATGAAGCAATTGGCCAATCAGAATTAGGTGTTCAAGAGAGCCATGTAATGAGTTTAAGATATGCAGCTGAGCACTTAAATTAGAGCTTGCAAAAACATATTTGGTTTTGACCTCTATGGAGCAAATCTCTCACCTTTCTCTTCCCTGCACACGTTGTGCTAACAATAAACCTGCTGTATTGAATTCTTTAAATTACATTCAGTGATGAAAAAAATATATATAAATAATTTCATATGTAAAATGCACACGCTGTTATGCATTACATTATGATTTCATAGGCAATGGCCTTGTCCAGTGGATGTGATCTCCTTATATTATGATAAATTAAAGCCCAGCTGCAGCCAGGAGATTTAATTAAGATTCAGCATTCACCTTCGGCAAAGGTAGCTTTGTTACTTAGTTCCAATTAAACTGGTTGGTTGAGGCAAGCCTTGCATTGCCGCTTATTCAGATATCCTTTGTTTGCCCTCAGCGGGCAAACACACCAGAAACAAATCACAAGTTTCCATATTCAGACCTTTTGGGAATAACAAGGCATTCTGGGAAAGGTAGAGACTGGCAGGATGCAGGAAAAAGAAAAACAACAACAACTGATATTCAAATAGCTATAATCTGAATTCTGAAAGCAACTTTAAAGCTCTAAAGTTAAAAATGTTCAATATCTGGTGGTGTCAGTGCATGAAAAATTTCAAGTATGGATCTGATAAGGTAAATATTATTTTTGTGAGTAACAGGAAAAATGTATGCAATTAGAATTTTTTCCAGATTTTTTCATTTACATTTTAAAGGTCAAGAAGTTAGATAAGATTTACATCTAACAGTTTTTTTTTTTTTCAAAAAGCAGTTTACAACAGTTTTTGCAATGTAATCTAAGAAGTGATAATGAATTTGCCATATTTTTTTATTATACCCGATAATTCAAAGCGTTCTAAACTCACCGCAGCGGAAAAGGTTCTCTAGGGTTGGATCCGTCTGTTCTTCGCCAGCACACCCCACTCACTCTCTGCTGAGGGAAACACAAAGCAGAAAGATGCAAATTCTTCTTTCCCGAATTAGCCATTAGCAGGGGAAAATTATGAAAGCCTGTTTTTCTGGATTTCTTGCAGAAGTCTGTTGGATCTTGACCAGATCATGGAAACATGTCAGTCCAATAACATTAGAACTGCAACACAATGAGAAACGATGCCCTCAGACACCCAATTAAAAGTGTGCAGATGCCGCAAACACCTGGCAGATAACCACATAACATCTTCAGATGACCCAGCATCTGAAATGAACTACCTCTGCCAATTCTCAAACAATTAAACATTATATA